TCCACAAAAGTGAGAATCGTAAAACAAACAACAAAAGGGAAATTTCCTAAAGTATATAATCCCTAAACTCTTTATCTTGGGTTGTTTGATTACTACTAATTTCCTCGTTTGCATAAATTATATTTGAAATTAAAACTCCATTCAAGGTAATTAGCGCTTCACTGCAAGTTCTTTGTGATATTTAAACATGCGTTTAATATATCAATTAAGATAATTATTGGGGATGGATTTCATTTGAATAAGATAGACAGCTACTGTCCAGATATTGAAGGAGGGGAGCTTTGGACAGGTTTAATTGAATTCACATTTAAAGGAGGCTTATTTGATTTTGGGAAACTCACGCAATGGGTTTCGTACAAGACACCACCTGGTTAAAAAGACTGGAAAAAACGACAAGGTAAATTGAGAAGTAGATAGCAATGCCAAGCTTAGATTTAAAAGCTTTTAAATTGGGCTCCCCTGATGGCTCAATTGCTAAAGCAATTGCCTCATGTGAAAATGAGCAAAACAGATCATTTTAAATCCCGATTCAGCTGGAGTGGCAGAAAAGGTTCTCCAGTGCCTTCTGTTATTCATATCAAAACAAAAATTAATGTGTCGTGGTTTTCTAAAAATTTTCAAAAAATATTTGATATAGGAACGTTGTACAAGGCTTTTTCGAGCACAATTATTTTCCAGGACGATTTTGAAGTTTGTACAATTATAGTGTTTAAAAAAACGTTTGGCATCTTTCTGTATTAGGAACACATTTAGCCTTTGAACATAATCTACTCCATGCTCAGCATTTATTTTTTAAAAATGTAATTGATAAACTAGCCCAACAGTGAGTAAGAATTGATACTTAGCAACTCATGGAAAGCTACCCAATTCGTCCAATGGACACACATGGTTTATTCTAGGTTTTATTTACATTCTGAATGTATCAATTGTAGGAGGAAACAAATGTATATCCCTTAGATCTTCCAAAAAAGGAAGCTCTCAAAATGAATTATGACTTTTTTGACCTGTTCTTCTTTGATAGAAGTGGTATACTTGGCACTAACCCTTAAACAGCACCTAACTAATTAAAATAAGCAAAGAAAATAGATAATATCACTTTGCTTAGTAAACTATCTTGTTTGATTAATGTATTTATGGAAAAAATGAATTTTAACTTAAACTGGATTCGCTTTTACATTAACATTTATAATTGTGGTGAAAATATTTGGACAAACATTTCTGGACAAAAGTCATGAAACGTCAGCAAGAAGCACTTGCAGCAAATTTAGATTTCTCTCCACTTTGAAGTCAGTCCAAGTTCCTTTTAATTCAGTTACAAGGATCACTGGTGTGTGAAAACATTTCTTTCGTCATGAATGCTGAGCAGTTCATTTTTATTCAGAGGAGATTATGGTTTGTGAAGTAGGCATCTATCAAAGCGAGCTGTCATGCTCTCTGTTTGGAGATCTTTTCACTTTCTGTCATCTTCAACCCCCTATCCACTCCCCGACACATTCACAAAACCTTGCTTTGGTTGCTAAATGTTTCTTAACACTGATGCAGACCTGAGCCAGACAAATTCCCAAGCCAAGCATAAGTTATTCATACTTTAATAGTAACGTTAGCTGAAAGTGCTTAACACGAACCTTAAATGTTTTTGTTACACTATGCTGTATATTTATACTACCTGCAAACATTCATGGTCAAATACAACCATTTTAATAGGACACAATCGTGGAGAATTTAAAGCAACATTGCATGTGGTTATGTAGACAACATCCAATTAAACTCTTGCTGATTGAAATGCTCACTATACAAGTAATTAGCACTTTAAAACTAAGAATTACCTTTCATTCTTTCTAAAATGCAATCAATATGCAGAACGAGATACATGTCATCTGATTATTTGTGAAAAAATATATTATTTTATTTAAATAAGAAAGCAAAACAGATGGGTCAATAGATGCCACAGGTGAGCAGATGGTGACGGTATCTGTAATTAAAAATAATGACTGATCAAATGACTTGGAAGCTCAAAAGTAGTTGTAACAAGAGGCTTGCAAAAGGTCAGAACCAAGTCACTTGAACACACTTGCCACATTCAAATGCATTTCATCAATTCTCAACCAAGCTTGTGGATAGTGTTCCATTTTATAGAGTTATTGGGAGAATGGGGAACCTAGTTTACTAGGTTGGAAGAAGATTGACCATAGAGAAGTTGATACAGGCAAAGCACACGGAAAGCGGCAGAATGGCCCCAATTTTACATGTTCAATAATTCCTCATTTGTGTATCGGTGACTCTAACATGCCACGTGTCAAATTAAACATTAAGAAAATGATGCATGTCAAGGAAATAAAATAACTGTATGCACTTCTGAACACTGAACATAACCTAGGACCAACCAGACAGGAATACTAATAGCCTAAATAAAATAGGGCGCTTTCACTCTCAGCATTAACTGAAGCAATTTTGCTTGTGTCAGTCAGATAAAAATGTTAATAAATGGACCAAATTGAGCAGCACTGAATTAAATTGAATAAGTACTTCATGTTACCAGGCTTTCAATGCTCTAAGAATATATCTGTTCTGTAATGTCATTTATGTCCGTGCCTACAGATAACTTTCTCTTCACAACTTGTAGCTGAAATAAAAATTATTAATCTAACATGCATCAGTAAAAAAAAATCAAGTTACTGGATAAGAGAGAAACATTTTCTCTGGCAATATTCATTTATCATGTCTCCAAGGTGCCTGTTTGGGTACGATAACACGAAGAAGGGAACGTGAACATTTTTGTCGAATACTCTGTGAATTATGGAGACTAATAAATCAGTGGATTACATTTTCTGAAAAATTAAATAGATAGTTTCTATGGAAACTTTAATACCAAGTCAAACATCTCTGACCCAAAGGTATGCCTTAAGATTATTTGACCCTTGTGCTGTACTTCAGTAGAACATCATATTTGTTAAACTGCAATTTTTCTTATCACACAGCACCGTGGCATGATTTCTTTGGAATAAAGTAACCAAAGTAACCAAAGATATAGCTTCTGATGAACATTTGTATCTTTCATATAGCAAAGCAAAAACCCAGTTTACCCCACTCGAAGATAATTTTAATGTTATAAATCCGACATTAATAAAATGTTAATAATGTCATTTTTGGTAAAGCTTATACAGAAGGTACAAGGTTAATAATTAGTTTTTTTAAAATATGTGTGGAGTTATAAGCAGCAAATTAAAATATATGGATCCTTGTGTTATAGAACATAAAGTGCCATTGGGTTTGTATGGTTGTTTATACATGTTTGTGTGGTTGTTTATACATGTTTGTGTGGTTGTTTATACATGTCTGTGTGCTGATATTAATGAACTGCATGCAACACTGACAGATTTCAGTATTCTCCTCCACAATGCACTGCAGAATTTGTTTGCAGCTCTATTGTGGCGTAGGTAGAGATTGAGAAATCAATATTAAAAATCAGAACAGCCATATTGCCTTAAATTGAATGCCATCTGCAAATGTTTGAGCAGCTATACATATGTGATATGGGGGGATGGGTAGGTTCAGCTTTAGTGGGTCAGCTAATATACAGAACTGTTTGACACCATGGAAACAGTTTCCATAGAATTTCCATGCCAGCAGTTGAAGAGTTAACACAGTCATTGCATTGATCCCTTCAAATTAGCGGACCTGAAGACCAGTTAAATCAATATACAATTCTGATAAATGGACAGCTTTTGTGCATTACAAATGTACAGTTCCTTCGTGTAAATCGAATAATGAATTCTAGAGTCAGATTATTTAATAAACTTCACAGTTTACATCATGTAAATAGGCACTGGATTTTTGTTTATTTACACAGGGCCTGAATAACATAGAAGATAACCGATTCACAAGAATGTAATCCAATCAATGTGTTTAGAGGCTTTATAAACCATGACAGTGAAGTTTAAGTGGTTTGCCACCTGAATCCTGAGATTAGATTACACAGAAAGTATTTATTATTATGTAATAATATTATTAAGTGCTATCTGTCTAAGGGAGGGTGGGGTGGAATGTCTCTTTCTAAGTTCCCAACCCGAGGTTGCATTGCTGTCTGTGACCTAATTCTCAAGACCCGTTGCTCGGTCTGGCTTCCACTGCTACCTTGGCTGCTTGCCAGCCTGTCGGTATCTTTCTTGATGCAATAAAAAAAATAAAAAATGAGAATTCTGCCCCTTGTCATATGCAAGTGATAGCCATGACAATTCTGTCCAGCAGCGTAAATTACCAGTCTCCCTCGAGCAGTCCGAGTGACCCACACATATCATCTCCCGAGTATAAAATTATTCCATTTGATCAAAAGAGAACGATTAAATCTTAATCCTCAATATCTTCTGATCTCAATTTAAAATAAGTGTCAGTACTCAGGTGACAGGGACTGTCCAAAAAGTATGCAATAGTAACTGAGAATTATCAGCTCTGTGTGGGAGAAATACATATATATTATCTCCTGACCTTCCAGGAAAGATCTCTGGTTACCAACCTCCTGACCCCAAATTAACTCTGTGTCCTGCTTCAGGCAATTTAAAAGCCAGCAACCAAGTATTTCTCTCTATTTCCATGTAAGTATTCCCTGAAGGAAGGGGATCTCTAACTATAGGACGTGAGAGCAGGTTGCAGACAGACAAACAGACCCAGGAGGTGAATGCAAAACACATGCGCAGGTAGCTACAACTGGAGTTGACCGTCACCCCGCCACCAATTCAGTACAGAAAGAAAAGATAATTTTATGAAATAAGAAGTTGTCTTATTTCAATCAATACTCGTATTTCTTAAAGTCAATCTCATAGTCTACAACAAAGTGTTCAGTATATTTGTAACAGGTCACCATGTCTTCAGTGTTGATGATTCTGCCACATTTTATATGAGAATCTTACAGGATTTACCCTACTTCATGTCGTGACTGCATTTTGTAGGCGAAAATAGTAAGAGATAGAAGACACGAATTAGTGAATAAGCAAACTTCATACCTGATTTATGTGCTTCAGTTTGTCAATTATTTGGCTGATTACAGGTTCTGATCCTTTTACTTTGACTTCAGGATTGTTGGCTTGAGCTTTTACACCATATCCTACAACCTGATGACTGTATCTGAATTAAGGGTGAAAAGAAAATGTCAACTGTTTAGTTCAATTCTCTCATACTGAGGCAATTATTTACACTTAGATTGTGCCACATTGATGAATCAATGAAAGAATTACCTCTTTTGATTTAAGGATACACAAATGTTTACCTTTGGAAAAGAGTCTATTTGCATTTACATAGAACACCTCATTTTGAACAAATCTACCAATCCCACGATAAAAAAAGGAAAAGAACAGCTAGAAATGTTAACACTGTGCTCAGCATAGGTCCTGCCTGCTGATGCAATTTTTATCATGGTTACAAAAAAAAGTTGTTCTTTGTTTGTGATACATTTCACATTTGTACCCATCTCTGGAGCTAAAAGACGATCAGGCAAATGGAATGGAGTGATATAATGGACAAAACATTGTCACACAGTGTGCCATACAACATACTACATAAATTAAATATGAAGATTAAAAGGCAATGACATTGCTAAGTCATTACGTTGTGCAATTGCACACAACACAGGTCGTGGAGTGACATTAAATCTATACCTCATGACAACCAGACCTGACATAATGCACGTACACCTTGAATGTTTGAGTTGACCTTGTTAGATCACATCATATAAATGTAGCGTTGTGTTGAGATTATGTCATAATTCCTACATTCATTGAGTAGTTGCATAATTACGAGAATTTACTATTTTTGGTTAGCAGGCTGTTTCATATGTGAAACCTATCATCATGCTTATGAGTATCCAAATTAGACGGAGAGTTCTATAATCACATACATATGAAACGTTTCCCATGTCTGGAATACAATATGGACTCTCTCCCTGGAGGGATGCAACCTGCTTATTTAATTCTGGAGAGTATTAGGGGCAAATTAACGAAAGCCAAGGCTTGAGGACACCAGAAAGTGCTTCAGGATTCTGCTGGAATTTAACCAGTGGAAAAAGCATAGCTTGACATTGCAAACACTTTCCAGCGTTTCCTGGTGCTTGTCCAGGTAGAGCCGTTCTATCCATCAGGGTTTGGGGTTTGTGAGGTTAGCAGGAGCTGAGTGTGAAGAATTTCTGACCCCAGTGAATGTTCTGCCCCTTCAAATCTGGATGATTAGCCAGCCTGACTGGTCGATCATCAATGGTGCCCTGAGTACTGCAGACCCACCTGGCTCAGGAACTGGACTAACAAGACCTCCACAGAGGATCCATCATTTAATTGCCAAAGCACATCACCTTGGAACTAGCTCAGCACCAAGGGGTCCCTGTTTACCTCTCCACAAGCTGCATAGTCACACATTGACTACGCAGCCTGGTTGCAACCTGTGTTACTGTAAAATAAATATCAGCCACCTAACAAAAGCCAAGGACATGAATGTCTTTTCAAACTGAATCTTTTGTTGCAAAACTGACATTGGAATAGACAAATCCATTTGTGCTTCTATCACCCAGGGGATAGGAATCTTATCCAGTTGAAAAAAAACATTGTAGAACGTATTTTCTTTAAGTAACAAGGAGCTTCAATACAATGGTATGCTACCAATCATTGTCATATGTTCTGTATGTCTCTCCACCTAGATTTAAAGTTCCAATGTTTTTCATAGTGTGCTCGATCCTGTTGTCGACAGAAGCAGATTGTGGACATTCCATAAAGGTTTCCCGCATTTCACCTGCTGACATACATTTCTGATAGATTTTCTAAGTGTGACCAGTACATGATCGATCACGAGTAAATGAACCAGGTTGACATTTAAAATGGTCATATAGGTGACTGCAGCTGAATGTCAATGCCATCTATCACTTCCCCACTTTTATCTGCATGTGCAGACTCACGTTTACATAAGGAAGGAAGGAAGGAAGGAAGGAAGGAAGGAAGAGGAATGATCAGTTTCCTTATGGAATGTAACCTCTTGTTAGAAATATCAGAAATACTCTTCTTCCACTGATGATCTGAGACCATGCAATTCAGCTCTTCCTGGAGTACCCTGAATTAAAGGATATTATTTTGCCAAACAACTGCAAATATGGTTTTATTTTTTTTAATCGAGTACCTGTAGTTTCTGAGCTCAATAGTTCTGCAATAGTTCTTTGCTATAATTGGCTACTTCCTTTGTCTCTCACCTCCTTCCCTCTCTTTCTCCCATTCAGCTGCATTCTGACTGCCTGCTATCAGTTTGGTTTGCTGCTGTGCAGCTCAAAAGCATAGTTTTTGAGAACAGGATCTTCCTTCAAAAAGTTTAATTTTATGCTCACAAGTAATTGAGGAAGCAGTCTCCAAGTGCTCCATTTTCCCTCAGACTTGCTTGGACCATTTCCCACAGGATAATGTGGGAAGTAAAAGGATGCGAGGAATGATTTGGAGAACTTAGGGCTTTGGCTTTATACACTTTCCTCTGGGAATTGGTTTCAAATCCAACCCAGATTTTCTTCCAGCTGCAATAGTCCCACATGAAATTATTGGGCAGTATCACAGCTCACAACTGTCCCAATTCAAGACAAATCATCGCTAAATGGACAGTCTTATTCATAGAAGCCAGACACATGATTAATCATAATCCTGTGCTAAGAACCACAGAATATAACTGGACAGCTGTTATAAATGTGCCCAAATAATCCTATTCAAAAACTCAGTCGAGGATTAGATGCTTTAAGTGACTGCAACATTTCTGTCACACAGTATTATAATAATAATAATAATAATAATAATCCTTGCATTTGATATAGCGCTTTTCACGTCGGGAGGACGTCCCAAAGCGCTTCACAGAACACACTGTAAAGTGAATTGACTGTATATTTGTGGGCGAACGCGGCAGCCAATTGCGCACAGCAATGTCCCACAAACAGTCGTAGATTGAAAATGACCAATTTATTATTGATTTTGTTTTTTTTGGAGGGATTATTATTAGGCGCTGTGTGGAGTAAGGAAACTTGCCCAAGGTTTCGCCCTCTGCCTGGAATTGAACTCAGGTCTCTCACTTGCAAAGCGAGTGCTCTAACCACTGAGCTACAGGACTCCAAAAGTTAGCAGCGATTGAGTTATGGGGGTATTATTATTATATTCTGAAATGAAATTATTATAATACATATTTTGGTGGTTGCATCTGATACGAAATAGTAGGCTGTCATATGACGCTTTTTATTGTATCACGATGGGAAACAAAGCAGGTGTGAAATGTTGCCTGCACAAATACAGGGATTATTTGCTGAATTTGTTTGATATTCACATGAATGAAACTCCAAAAGTGGTGGGGTGCACTGCGATGTTGGAGTTGCCATCCTTTGGATCAACCAAGGTCTTGTCTACTGTTCAGGTGGATCCTAAGCATCCAATGCACTACTTAAAAAGAGAAGAGAGTTTTTCCTGGTGTCCTGGCCAACAATCCCCAAGATGAAATTGTTCCTTCACTTCATGGCTGTTTAGAGATACTGATGTGTACAAATTAGCTGCCACATTCACCTACAAAATGCATAGTCACTACACTTCACAGTAAGTCTTCCCAAAGTGAAATACTCCATTTCAAATGAAAGGATTATTATTATGATTTGTGGTCTACATTATCTTTAAATATTTGATTAACCATATGCCAAATTTTGCTACATGTTTCAAATTTTAAAAAAACTGATTGTGGATATGATGCAACAGTCCATTGCACCCCAAAAATAACTACTTTACCCTTCAAAATTGCTATTTTGTTAAGATATTTTTATGTGCAAAATTTCCATTTTCTAGGCTATTCATCTGATTTTAGCATAAATTATAATCGCTGTCAAAACTTAAAATATCTATGCATTGGCTCTTGTACTCTTGAGGGAAGAAAGGCATCTCCTTAACTACAAACAGCAGAGTATGTCGTATACATCAATGGGACACAAAGCCCGTTTTTGCACAAAATTATCAATTTATCAGGAGGGATTGATAGCTAGGACACCATGAGAAACTACCTTTCCATGCCAATATCGATGGACTCATAGCATGCAATTTTGGGAATATTGCCTCAAGCAAAAGTGTGTATTTACTCACCTACAACTGTGATTGTATTTGTACTATGATGCAGTGCCTTCTGCTGGTTCTGACCTGAACTAGCAGTTTAAGATATTGGAAACTGTGGAAACTTTGCCTGTACTAAACATCGCACTGCGATGAGAACCAATGTTCTGAAAAAATGCAAACCAAATTGATTCTTTACTATATATAGTTGTCAGTCTTTTACAGAGCTACTCCTAATATATTCTGGCAATTTAAATTGTGTTATCACAGTTATCGAATACGGTTTACACTTCTCGTATAATGTTGTATTTTATTTTGTATGCTGTATATCTATTTTGTTATGAAAAGGCAATGTTGTCTTCAAGTTTGAACAGTTATTGTAATATGTTATTACAGGATTTTTCAAACCTGTGGATCTTTGGGTAATATTACTTCTGAAGAGGTTTAAATATTTAAGATTTGATATTTCTGTGAAGATTGAATTAACTTTGTAATAGCCTGCCATCTGTGTATTTTGTGCATACAAATACACAGTCACTACACTTCAGAGAAAATTTTGTGTAATTTGAGGCATTTTAACATGCTAATTATATCAAATGCAATCATTATTACTAGCATTATTGTTTGTTTCCAAAGCAGCCATCTACTTGGAAATTCAAAATTTGTTGACATAAAGCCTCTCTGAATGGTTATTTAAACTGAAATAGTGTAAATCACAAAACTATTTTACATTATCTACTTGTTATCTTCCTCACCTATTCAAATTGCAGGAGTTTGTACTTTATATTTGCTAAAGTGGATTAATTTTCCTTCATGTCTTTTTGTAAAAAAACACATAACTTATGACAGAATATGTATGTAAACAAACTTATTTAACTTCACAACCAATCATGAATGCCATGTTTATGCTAAACTTTCTATTTAAAAATCCCCAGGATTTTCATAACAATCTCAGTATAATAGTTAAGCAAGCAGTAAAAATACTGTCAAAAGTGTAGGTGTGTTGATTCTAATGGCAAACATAATATTGTTATTTATGATAAGCAAATTCATAAAGAACATATTCAAGGAGTATTTATTACTCAGATTTCCAAAGTACAGGTATGAACAAATGGTCATTATACTTAAGAAGACACATAAAGACAGTAAAATGGATTGAAAGGCAATAACACTAAAGGTTTAATTCCAGGTTTTAGATCATTGAGCTATAAAGAGAGACAAAGTAAGCAGGTATATTCATAACGAGAAAACAATTAAGAAGGATACAATTCCAGTTTATATAACATTGGAGGGAATGGAGAATTTGGATATGCAAATGCATGAATGGAGCAACAGATTACAAATATGTGGAAGCTGTGAATAAAGAAACCTTGAGCAACAGCTGCTTCACACATCAGATTGATGGGATAGACTGCCACCTAGTGCAGTAAGTGATGAATCTATAGCAGCAGTTGAAAGAAGCTGATTGACTAAAGCTGTTGAGATGGGATGGGGGCGTGGGGGGAATTAATGTGGAATTTGAAACAGAAATCCAGAGTGAGCTGCATTGCCTTTTTCTTTTCATGTGGTTATCATTTCTAGTCCTTCATTTTGTTCTCAGGAGGACAGGTAAATATGTTGAATTCTACTTAGTAAGAGACCGTAAGATTATGGTTCCCTTGTCATTCAATACTCTCTGCAATACTGCTTCTCTGCAGATAACAGGGGCAATTTTGTAGTCCTTTGATGCAACATACTTTCACTGTAATATCAGTTTTCACTAGGGTCTTTAAATATCTGTGAAGTCAGTTTGAATTAATAGTTATAGAGCTCTTGACAGACAGAAAGTGACAAATTATTTATTACATATTCTAGATGAATTCCCAGCCTGTCGATAAGACATCTGCCACTACTGTTGTTTAACAAGCTAGTGTTGGGCTAATCTCAGCTTCTCTTTTTGCCAATGTTACATTAAGGACAACAGCCTGAGTCAGTCGCATTTTTGCTTCAAAAAGTACTTTAATCCTAAAATGACACTGGAGTCAAGTCTGGCTATTTTACTGTATGAAAGCAGTCAGATGTTTTACTTTAGTTCTCCATAAGGATCTGACAGGGTAATGGCTGCTATTGCATTGCCTAATTGTTTCAACAGATGTATAGAAACTCCATAAACTGGATTCTCCTGTGGACAAAAAGGTCACTTCCCAAATGGGTAATTGGTTTTGCCATCTTTTCATCTTGTGTCTGCCCTGGCTATATTGGCATAACATCTTGGTGTGGGAATGGGATAATTAGGATGGATTGGAAGGATTCCTGCTTACTTTTGAATTGCTTATTTTTTTAAAAAAGCGGCAGAGAAATTATTTACATTTAAACAGAACAAAATGACTTCTACTGATCAGAGTTAGTGGATTGTCAGGCTTTCGGCAACACAGAACACTTGTCATGTGTTTTCAAAAAAAATATGTGGGAGGGAGCAGATTGTCTTTCTTGCTATATTTTGCAAATTGGACCGAGTTACCTCAGGTTTCCTGTTCATTAATGGTTTGCACAATTTCAGGTATAATTACACTTGTATGCCTCCAGTGCAAGCAATTTATTATATGAATTATAATAATCCTTGCATTTGATATAGCGCCTTATCACATTGTTGAGACGCCTCAAACCACTTCACAGAATATATTGTAAAGTGGATCGACTGTGTATTTTGTGGACAAAATGCGATAGGCAATTGGGTACAGCAATTATGGATTCAGTAGTGGAAGAACAAAATGGCTGCAGCAGAGGTGCTAACTTTGAACGCTCAATAAACCTGCAATCCTCCAGCAAACTCATGGCATGATTAATCACTAGTTTTTTTAAGCATCAGCATTTTATGTTTAGGACTGTATCTCAAGAAATAGGTGATAAGTCTATAGCCCTTTTGTTCTGTTTTATTATTTTTTAAAAATATACCGTGAATGTTTTAGATCCTTCAGTTGCTTCTATCCTAAAGATGGCACCAGAGTTACTAATTCAGGTAGCAACCCGTGAAAGGTTATAATAAAAATATATCTGTAGCTACCAACGCCTCCGTACATTTTCACCTCAGTATGACTTTGATAATGATTTGCTTAATATTACTCTTGATGCTTCATGTAAAATGATGCCATTCTCCTCCTTTCACCTTACAAGATAGATCTCAATCCACTGGGGAGCAGTTGAGCTTTGAGTACCTTTAAGAGCCCTCCAGCAAAGTCGAACAAAAATTCCCTAACATTGGTTCATAGTAAGAACGCCTAAACAGCCCACTCAAAAATTACTACATTAATAAAACCACTGCCAGAACAGTTCAGTTCATAATAAATCCTGAGCATCTCAACTTATTCACAACCAATTTCAAATACTACAGAGTAACCCCATTATAAATGCAGTTGTCTGGCTCTCATATCTTAGAGGCCACATTATATCAAAGTGTGAAAAACATTTGAATTCCAGATTGCCAAGTCATTGCAGACGTCATTTCCTGTGCATGGCTCAGCATACTTTCACTGAATTAAAAACAACATGAACGACCAACTTTATTTGGGGGATTCTTGGCTGGGACACTGGAAGAAATTCCCTGCTCCATTTGAACAGTCCCATGGGATCTTTAGCATCCTGAACAGGCAGATGGGACCTCGGTTTAACGTCTCATTCAAAGGACGGCATCACCAACAGTGTGACACTGCAAGCATTACATTGGAGAGCTGGCCAAGGCCGTATGCGTTCAAAGTCCCAGTCGATGGCGTAAACCACAAAACGTCTGACTCAGAGGGAAGAGTGCAACCAACAAGGCTGGCACAGATGTACAGTATAGAATAACGTTCTTCAGTTTGATCAGAATAACTCTATGCAGCTCTTACAGATAGACATAATAGACAGAAATGTCATATTCAAAATCTCACCTTGGTACAATTTCTTGTCCGTTCCAGCACTCTGAGTTATTATGATGAGTTAAATCAGATCTGCATATTTGATCAGGGAGACCGATGTAGAAATTACTGTACATGCGCAAATTGATGATGAACTCCCTGTAAGTGAAACAGAAATATATGTTTAAGATAGAAAAATTAAAAACACAAGCAAAGTTGGTCATTAGATGCTGGTCAAGCTATATGCTTACCACACAGTGGTTTTTGTCCATTAGTAGCATTTTCTATTTGTACAACTTTCTACCTGCACAATAGGTTCTACATTGAATTATACTCAGATGTAACGATTATTGATGATTAAAACTCAAATCAAAAAAACTTTCAGGAAGGATATAATTTAAATAACTCAAACAACAACTCTGTTTTGATAACAAATGGTGTAGAATAAGAGCTCCAAGACACAATCCCGTGTGAAGAGTGATGAGGTTGTTTTGTTGTAATAAATTACACAGAATATTTTGAAAACATCCTCCTCCATGACCTACTCTACAAGTCAGCTGTGAAGCTCTTCATGCTATTCTCCCTAGGTGAAAATATAAATTTTGTTGTAATCTATGTAATGAACTTGTAGCTCACTTTAACGCATTCTGCAAATCCAGATACAAGATATGTGCATAAATTAAGTACTTAGTTGATAATCACTCATTACCATTATATTACAAGCAGATCAAACAGTGTATTGAATCGTAAAAGGAGATCAAGTGGCATATTGAACAGAAAATGGGAAGTCAGGATTGCCACAGTGGCAAATTGCAATATTCCTGTCTTGTCTTTGAAAATGCAAATTAACAAAAAAAATCCTACAAGAACTAAGACTGTGAAATCATTATCATACTGAATTATTTAACAGCCATCATAGATCATTTACTTTTATGTTTGCAATGCTTAATTGAGTGCATAGTTTGAACTGTTTGCACGCATTTTCAGATGGCCCATTACATTTGGTGCCTAGTTTGCCTCTTTTGCACATTTTTTTCCCACTGTAAAGTTGGCAATGTTATAATATACTAATAATAATCCTTGCGTTTGATATAGCGCTTTTCACGTCTTCTAAATGTCTCAAAGTGCTTCACAGAATATACTGTAAAGTGAATTGACTGAATATTTGTGGGCGAAACGCAGCAGCCAATTGCGCACAGCAGTCCCTCAATTTTATTATTGTCGTTTTTTTCTTGAGGGAGTATTATCAGGTGTGTGGAGCAAGGAAACTTGGGAATCGAACCCAGGTCTCCCGCTTGCGAGGTGAGTACTAGAAGTTATGTTAGCTATGTAAAGCAGGTGTGAATGCATATTTATAGAGGAAATAACAGGTGCCTGTAATTATGTAACTAGCAACCTCACGTTTTAAGAAATGTAAAGAATTTTCTTTTAAACGTCTGATCTCAGCATTTAGCCAGAATGTTGCTTCACTTTATTGATCCTCAGTTGTATCCAAAACTCTGCAGCTCGTGTACTCTCACGTACCAGGCTCCATGACCCCATCACTCCCACCCTCGCCCATCCCTCAGAGGATCGAATTCAAGATCCTTGTCCTCACTTTCAAGGTTATCCATGGCCTTGCCCCCTCCTACCTCTCTGACCTACTGACTCCCTACCAACCTACCCGCTCCCTCCATTCAATGGGCTCTGGCCTGCTCCATGTCTCCCACCCTACCATTGGTGGCCAGGCTTTCAGCCTCTCTGCCCCCACACTCTGGAACTCCATCCCACAATCCCTTTGCCTCGCTTCCTCCCTTGCCTCCTTCACAGCTGGTCTCAAGACCCTCCTCTTCGATCGTGCCTTCAGTCGCCCTCGCTCCTCTCTGCCTTCCCTCACCCCTACCCCACCCCTCCCCCATGCTCAGGTCCTGACCCTTGACTGTCCAGCGCCTTGGGACGACCTCCCGATGTGAAAGGCGCTCCATAAATGTAATTTTGTTGTTGTTTCACCTAAAATTTATTAAGTGTTCAGTGAAGATACCACTTAACCTTTGTAGTGAATCAGAAATCAAAGTTATGACTATACTGTGGACTAACTGTGGACCAGTTATCAAATTACTTATACAATAAAAAAAATCTGTGCAACTGATAACAACAACAACAACTTTTACTTATGTAACAACACAGGGTACCGTCTCGGAGCGCTTAACAGTGGTGGAGCCTGACTCCGAGCCGGGTGGGGTGGTGGCAAGGTGGTCGTAACCACAGTCAAAGAGAAGGTTTTAAGGTGGGACTTGAGAAAGGGGAGAGAGGGGCAAGGCAGAGGGATTGAGGGAGAGTGTTTTAGAGTTTCAGGGCATAGTTGCTGAAAGCACAACCTCCCATGGTGGGGTGGGGGAGGGTGCGAGGGACGAGCAGGAGCCAGTGCCAGTCAAGCGGAGGTGCCGGGTGGTGGATTGGGGTGAGAAGCCGGAGAGGTAGGGAGGGGCCAGTGAGTGAAGGGATTTGAACACGAGTGTAAGGATCTTGAAGTCTATCCAATCGGTGATGGGGAGCCAGTGGATCCTGGGCCAGAATTGGTGAGATATGTGTACGGAGTTGGTCCGGGTCAGTGTGTCGACAGCAGAGTTCTGAATGAGCTGGATCTTTTGAATAGTGGAACTGGGGAGACCAGCAAGGAGTGTGTTTGAGTAATCCATGCAGGAGGTGACAAACACATGCACAAGGGTTTCACGAGAAGGCGGTGTGGATGGTCTAGGTGGGGTGGAAGAGGACATGGCGGGGGAAGGATGATGCAGCCAAACGGATGTTTTCAATCTTTGAGGCGAAGAAGCAAGGACCTCTTTGCACTTGGTGTTTGATGTGAGGATAGATGGGGCTTGAGGGGGTGCACAGAGGAGGTGATGGGCTGTGGAAAACAGTGTCATTGGATTGTTGCTTGCCTCCAGGATGACTTTGGACTAAAAGTCAGTTTTGGCCTATGAATGGGAGAGGTGGTAGGTCGGAGGTACTCGAGCCACAGTTGGCAGTGAATCGTGAAGCCAGATTTCTGCCATCTGCGCTCGAGCTTCCGGGTTTGTGTTTTCAAGCATGTTTTGTAATACTTTAATTGCTCATCAAGGAGAAGAGACTCATTCTTTGCAGCTGACAGGAGACTTTCTGAGCATCAGTATGTGATATAATAAATACCAATCCGATTGTTACTGCAATGAAGCAATTGATAGACTGCTCTTGACCTTTCTACACTCTAATTTATGTATTGAACTACCAATCAAGAATCCATGACAGAACCATTTCATGGAAACGTAGATGATTACACCATACAGGGTATTTGCAATTACAATAATTACACAAACAACACATCTGTAACAAAAAGCTAAATAGCTGCTTACTTTCTCCTACTGGAGAAGGTCTCTTCATGCTCTGTGTAAGAAACCTTCACCCCCTTCTGGTCAATGTAAAGATCTTCAGGATAGTAGGCAGATCGATTGTATCTTTTCAGGGAATAACCACATACTTTGCCAATCTAGGAGGAAGCAGTTTAGATTATTACACAAATTAACTCACAATGATTCATGCAAAATAATTTATTGACATATGATTCCTGACATATTGCTATCAGTATAAGAAGCTATAAAATACTACAAATAAGTTGCAACTAAATTTTCCACAGCTGGATTCCAAATTACTTGTGGTATTTAATCTGAGAGTTATGACAATGATTTCTGAGAAACAAGGCTATATTCAATTATTATTTCACATACAGTGATACTGTATAAGGATAGTTGTATTAATGAGGTTTTAACTTTAGGCAGTTCCATTTTACCTTGAGAAATGCTATTATTTTCATCACTACTGTTCATAGCACAGTGGACGTCCTCAGTGATAACAGCGTTTTTTGTGGGAGAAAACCCGATACAGCAATACCAGTTTGTTATTTTTGTTTTATTGATTACATACATTGTACTAAAATGTTGGGAGGATAATGATACAAAGGGTGAGGACAACTATGTAATACCTTTTAGGATTCAACAAAAGGATATAACCCAAAAATTCAAAACATTGCCATCATTTCAGTGACTGCTGAAATAACTAGTTAGTTATTTTCTTATCAAAGTAATAATATGGCATTGCACATTTATTTTCAAAAGGTTTCAGGCTGATCATGCTTCATTGAATTGATGTCCCCAGTCAATGATATCAAAACAATTTCCACAGTTTCTGTGTAATTGAATAATCACCACCAACTAATTATTGTTTAGTTTATTACACTTTTAATCATCACCCATTCCTTTTAAAGAAATTAACAATCCTCAACCATTTCTATTATCTATGATGTAAGGGAAACATCTGAGGTTGATAATGAGCACTTTATTGCTCTTTGGACCAAAAAGCTGATATGTAAATTGTTATGACCCAAAAATGTTTGCTTTCTCTTAAATATGAGTAATCAAGTAATCCATCATCAAAGCCTATGGGTACCATCACTTTTACAGAGGAACCCCCCCCCCCCCCACACAAAACAAAAAGATAATATGTGCAATGAACAAAGCAATGAATAAATAAGAAAGAAAAAGTCCATAAATATTTAAAATTTTAAATTCTCTTTAAGCATATAAATTAAGGCTATGCACACATTCTCGGTAAGGTAAAATTATTCTGTTACCTTTTTAAAGTGAATATATTTGCAGATCAAACCCATGTTCTCTGAATCTGACTTTATTTTTTTTTACCAGCTCGGCACTTTCTTTGCTTCATCTGCCACTTCCCTTGGATTTTGCGGAGTACTTTGATCTAATGAGCCTTTAAATAAACCCATGCTACATTACCACATTAAATATTTTAATTTCCTGTTGTAATGGCTTGGAGCTAAGCTGTCAACATTAACCTCAAAATACCAATTTAAAGGATCACTGCCTTTTGAGAAAGTTTTGAGTAAACCACTTTTTATTGTTCTCTTGCAAGCACGCAGTTCGGTGATGTGACATTGCTTCATTGTGTCACTTAACGTGTGGCAGCACAACAAAAGTACAGCTATCCTGCTGCAAACAAAACCCCACAAAAGACATTCATGGAGAAACTCCTATTCCATGAGAAATCAGAACCCAAACTAATTTGCTTTACCATATATACAATATATTTATAACAGCAACTTGCACTTACATAGCACCCTTCACGTGGGGTAGCATCTCCAAGCGCTAAAGTATACTCAGTATTCTTTGAAATAGACTTCAGTTCAGTTATGAACCTTTGATTTTTTTCATTGGAGGTTTGTTCCAAGAGTAATCTAAAATTTCAATTCCATCTGCACCTCTTTACTAGTTTGCTTGAATGTGACCCAAGAAAAGTTCAAATCCAATACTAAATATGCACAGCAGAATATAAAACTGCTCTCCAGTTACAGCTTAGTCAAGAACCCAGTAAAGTACTAATGTATTCTTACATGTGAACTTCTAGTAAGCGTTTTGTTATTTGTATTTCTCTCAAGATTCATTACAGATTTATAAATTTCAAGCTGCTCGGCTAATTGACTTATTTACAGCGATACAACATCAACTAAATGCTGATAAATGCAATCTTTGATATACACATTAGAGAGACAACAGGGAGTTACCAGGAGTACATCAAGCAAATCTCCTACTTGAAATATCTGCCAAAGCAAAGACTATTCAAGGGGGCAGTCACACACTTGTCCCTTTATTAATTTTACATTGAAGCCTCCACTTTGTTCTTGTAATGTCAAACAAGACTTCCTCTTAAGACTATACATGAACGTTCCCTGCTCGGGGCCACATCTATTCAGGTGTGTTTTGAACGGTAAAGTCCAAAAATGTGTTGCAATTTAATTAAATCACTGGAACATTTTCAACATCAGCAATTTGTTAAAAAAAGTCTTATTTGAATGTTTGTTGAATAAATTGTTTTCAACTGGCAAAAGCAAAAAGCATCTAACTTCCATAAGTTAGTTAATGTAAAGAGAATCCAAAGGATAAATGAGAATTACATGAGACATAAAACTGGTCTTACAATGCAAGATTTTACCAGCACCTTGGGATGTCTTCTCAACGTGAAAGGCACTATACAACAGTAATTTGTTGTTGTTATCCCTTGCTGTAACAGGAAATCTTATTGAAACCAAAGCAACTCCAGCATCAAAATTTCTGGTACACTTCTTTTTATATAAAAATATAGGTTTGAAATTCAGAAGTGATTCAAGCTGTCTCGTTGTCAAAGTAGCAAAGAAAAATCAATTTCAAACTTTGTACAGCAATAACAGAGAAGTCCCCTTTCCCGCACTTCATTGAACCAAGTGGGAGAGGGATTTGGACAACAGCAATCAAACAACTGCTCCTGATAAGTGTTATTGATTAACACAACGAATGTCATCAAAAGGCAACCGGACATTGATTTGTTGATCTCCTGGTATGATTTAACATTGAACCAAGAACTTTTTATGATCCAAAGTAAAATCACTACATGAAGCGCAGTTCAATTAGTATTTTATTAGCTGCAGCAGTTACAATTTAATTAAAATCTGTTAACCGGCAAGCTCTTGAGTAATTAATGCCAGAATCCTGAGTGAGAAACATTACCTGCTGCACTAATAAAGTGCGAGAGGCACAGTTTTATGAATTACTGTACTGCCCATGGAAAGACAAATGTAGTTAAGGAAAAGCTGCTGCAGCAGAATTATTTCAGACTAAAGTGCCCTGTGTATATATTTTCCTTGCAATCTATGATTCTATGTTATTTTCAGGCCTAAAAGAATCAGACCCTCATTTCCATGTAGATTCAACTCCAACCTCAGAATTGGTCCTGTGACTGGTATGAAATTCTTACCTTGTGTCTGCCAGTTCGGAATGACAGTAAGGTACAAAATAACACTTCACTGAGTGGATGATCTCTTCCTTTCTAAAGCATAGAAATCTCTTTCAAAGCAAAGTTTGGTGTGTGACACAAGTATCAAGTCATTATTTGCCAAACACACTAAATCACTTGGTTATGAGGCTTAAGAAGAGCTTGAAAGAGAAAAGGCGCTTTGATTGTCAATCCCTCTCCTTCTACAGACGAGACAAAATTTATATGGGCTCCATGGCTCACTCCACACCTGAAGGAAATGTTCTCTATAGATATTCCTCCTTCAAATTCCTTCAAAATAATAATAATAATAAATTAGTGACTCAATCCACGACTGTTTGTGGGACACTGATGTGCGCAGTTGGCTTCTGCGTTTCGCCCACAAAATATATTCAATTCACTTTACAGTACATTCTGTGAAACGCTTTGAGACATCTCGAAGATTTATAAGACGCTATATCAAATGCAAGGATTATTATTATTATTCTAATACAGAACTTTTTATTCAAGCTAAAACTACAGAATAATCATCCAACTGGGTTAATTTGTGGTAACTTTCCTGGGTTTAAAATACAGACTCACAAGTGCAAGACGAAGTTTAATCAATTCTTTTATCAAATCGCATAACTTCCGAAATTGATTCTCACAACATTTGTTTTTAGGCAGGACTGATGCCTGATCCTATCAGCAACAGATTCGGTAACTGTTCGGATAAGAAAACAAATTTGTCAGTTTTGTTATATATATTTATAGGAAACAGCACTGTAACAAACCAGATTAAATCTTTTGCTGCAGGCTCAGCAAATGTCATTAAACCCCGCTGACAGATTTCAACAGAGTTAATTAGCATTTGTTTTCCTTACAGATGTTGCAAAGTATAGTGCAGCAGAACACTCAATACACAGGCAAACATTCTTAACTCAGTGTAAACTGCGGTCACACAAGAAATTGATTTCCATCTCAAATGGAAATTTGTTGGTGTATTTTGGCTATTTTGTTGACAGCATAAATGCTGCCTAATTAGTAATTTTGAATTTTTTTATACCTAATCCTATTTAGCAACTTAACCTGGTCACACGCATTATTGCTGCTTTTAGCATCAATTTACTGTTTAGAATGCATTATTTCAGCACAGCATGCCAGCTGGCTCTGAACCCGTAAGTCAAGTACAGTGCTGACGGAAACCTGGCTTGTGCAGGTGGCAGTAAAGAAATGAGAACCATTCTGCTGGCTATCACACCATTTAATAATAATAATAATTATATTTATAATAATTATAATAATCCTTGCATTTGATGAAGCGCTTTATCACATGGTTGAAACGTCTCAAAGCGCTTCACAGAATATACTAGAAAGTGACCAGAGCTGGACTGGGAGACGTTGACTGGGAGATATCGACTGGGAGAAACTCCCCTTTTCTTTTCGAATATCACCATCATTCGTCTAGTTCCTCAGCATCAAAAATGTGGAAAAACTGGAAAACAATCTCGATTCTTGAAAGCAAACACCAGACAAAACTCATGCAATGCAGGAACATTATTTTCCATAATCGTTTCCTGTTGCTTAATTATGCTTCTACTTCCAACTGTTGTCACCTGCACCTTCAGCTTCACTCAGCACAAGGACAGCTGATGTGGGAAATGAGAAAGATTGCAATAATGCTTTCAGGAGTTAAGGCAGAATGTTTCAGGAGTTTCGCCCACAAAATATACAGTTCTTTACAGTATATTCTGTGAAGCGCTTTGAGACATCTCAAAGACGTGATATGGCGCTATATCACATGCAAGGATTATTATTATTAATACAGCGAAAGGTTTATTCCGCATCTGGCTTGACCTCAGAGGGCTTGACAACTGATATTGAGTACAAAAAAAGGAAAATAATCTGCCACAAACTGGAGAATCCTAGGTTACCAATCCCTCAACCTTGTGATTCTGTGTCATTTACACCAGTGCTCAAAACTCCAGGAGAGCAGGAAAATATTGATGTTCTTTCCCATTGGTTCCCTCTAGTGGACGAGTGGGTTGATGGACCAGCAGTAAAACTTGTCCATTTCTTATAGTACTGTACCTGTCATTTACTCAGTGTGTGTGTAATGTACATGGAGACTCGTTTGTGCAACTATAATTTCTCTGTTTTTTATAATGAAAGAGTTTTGCTTTTATTACTATTATTCGTCATTTAGTAATGTACATATATTTACTGAAGCATCTTTTTATTTGTTGTAGAAATGACCTCTTTCTTAATATAATTTTATTGTTTTTTTTAGGAAATTGGACTCCCTCTTGCTTTTTCCTCTTCACCCTCTCTTTTCCCCCCTCCCCCTTACACATCCGCTATTCCGAGAACACATTTACCATCTTCCACAAACTGACAAACCTTTTTAAAAAAGTTTGCTTCCACCATTAGATAAAACCCAACAGGATTAATTAATTCTTTTTAAAAGTGGTAATTTGATCAAACTGGAGGTTTGCCATTACAAATAGGAATTTATTTGGATCTTGGAACACGGTATTTGGTATAGATGAATTGAGCACATTTTGCTTTGTCTCAAGTTATGAAAATTGATCAGCATTAATGACAGGGTAAGGTAAGATGAATCAGTAATCAGAATAATAAATGTGTAGTGTTACACAAAAAGCTGGACAAATGAAGAGGTCATATAACAGATTTTGACAGATTGTAGGGAGATAAACTACCTTATTACATGCTGCATTAAAGTAACAAATTATGGCTGCTTGCTATATACACATAGGTGCTAGGTAATCCAGGAGTCCACCTAAGTAAGTAAGTATTGGGAATGATTCACCACATCAAAAATAAAACTATGAACCTCTCAACAAGTGATGTCTTGTTGTGGCTGCCATACCAATCTCACCTTTTCATCAGACAGAAAAAGGAGAGCGGCAGGAGATGACAAAATACACAGTCGCTATACAGTACAGTACATCCTGTGAAGTGCTTGAAGATGTCTGAAATTATAGTAATAATTATTAATAATAATCCTTGCATTTGGTATAGCTCCATGATACTGTTAATTAATATTATTATTATACTTATATTTGTATTCTCAGCAGAATATAAATCACAGCACTGTTTCTCATTCATATTCATCTGCGGAATGCAAACTTAGGCTATAATTGTAGGTTTTAAATATTTTATGAAATCGAGTTGGTAATTAAAAGAAAAACAGGCAGCAGAAGACAGTGCAAATCTACGGAATTACAGTAAACGTGAAAACCTTCTTAAATATGTAAAACTGTAATCACAACCCAACTTCCATTTCACTGCAGGAAGAAGCTCACTTTCAGTCCACAAATTGACAACATATTTAAATTCCTCAGTAACCAAAAATTGTCATACCAATTCCCACTTGATCTCAGCTACCATTAACACTTCTACTTACCCTGAAAATAAAATGCAACAGGAAAGAGTGTTACATAATAATGTGAAATCATATCTACATTAAGCACTGGCTTTGTGCTGGCAAATATATATGTAAAGAAGGACAGAGGAAATTAGTATTTTCATGTACTTACGGAAAACAATCTTGCTCGGTTCTTTTGGGCAACAGACACTGCATTCTTTATCAAGAGGTGAAGACGAAGTAGAACATTCTCCATGTCATAGGCTCCATACATTCCGTTGGCCAATTCCTCCAAGGATCTGATATATTCCCTCCAGTGATGGTGAATCTCGACCATGTTTGCCATGCAGCCATGCATCACGTTCAGACAATATCCCAGACAGGGCTTAACCTTCAACAGGCCTTGACAGTGAGAACAGTACCACATCTTCAGCAGTGCCCGTCCACAATCCTTACCGAATTTCGAATGGTCCGTTGTGTTAATTACTTCAATTCCCAGGTTCAAGGCTTGGAGAAATACTCGAACAGCCAGCAGTGATTTTGACATAGAAGTCATAATAATTTTAGGGAAATTACCAAATGCTTTCATATCATTTCTCGCTATCCTTAGGCATTCTCTGGATTCTTCGGACAATTGTGGAAAACCAGGGTATATTAAGTGACTGTAGACTACAGGGAATAAGCTGTCAAAAAACTCATTCACAATGTCATCAATGTTTATTTCAGAGCCAAGCACATATAGGGACGCATCAGCAAAAAGTTCTCCAACAAGGTTAGCAGTCTCAGTCGGCATATTCCTGTAGACATTCTTGAACATTCGGTTTGTGCAGTTTTTTGCATGATGAACAACAATTTCAAAAGTCTCTGTAAAAAGAAATATTTTCTGATCAAAGCCAAGTATAATTTTCTTAAAATATGCAAATTGTGGTTAAGTCCCCAAATTTATCAATGATATACAAGTCTTATCACATGCAACTTGATTGGTGCTTTGAACATACTGTATAAAAATATTTTAAAAACTATAAAGTTAGCCAAGTCTGAGAGAGTCAGCTCCTGAATGGATCGGAATTAAAACAATTGATAATAAGTTAATTAGCGTTAGCCCACTCGCTTTCAAAATATAAAAGTGAGAAAACACAACTGAAGATCCAAATCAATTTATTCAAAATTTCATTCATAACAGTAAAGATACCTTTGTTAAGAATACGGCAGATGTAGAATTCTGAAATATCTCCTGAGAAAGACTATCTACATCTTTTTTTTATTTCCAATATCCCCTCAAATTCACGCAAAACATAAAAAGGAAATGAAATGGTATCGTGACAAGGATCGAATTCCACTCAATAGCTGCCGATTTGTGTCCATTAATGAAGTAGCGAGCTGCCTTTGATTACATTGGTATTCAGTTTCCCATGAGTTCTTTTCTGGTTTCACAGGCACAGGTACAGATACAAATATACATATATTTTCTCTTAATGAAATCTTTTGAAAAGACTGTGATGACATGAGACCAGAGATCTTGAGAAATGTAACAAGTATGACGCAGACCTATTCAGTAGCAATGCTTCTTCCTACCCCTATGTTTCCTTTTAAAAAAACAAACATATAATTTCGCCCCCAAGATACACAGTCACTACACTTTACAATGTATTACTGTGAAGCGCTTTGAGACGTCTAGAAGGCGTGATAAGGCGCTAAATCAAATGCAAGGATTATTATTATTATTGTGGAGCCCTCACAAAATAAAACAAAGATAAGCTACTAAGATGCAAGCTACAAAGAAAAACATTCATTCTGTCCTAAATATAATCTTCTGGAAAATAAAAGCAAGACCTTTTTGTTTCCATTTGCAATTCATGTTGCATTTCGACATGTTTGGAAGTGAATTGCTTCCAAAATTGCACTGATTTGTTACTAAACGTGCAACATGAAGCAGGGCCCCGGCAAATCACACTGAAGTCTCTGTCAGCACATGTTGGAGGTGGTTTGAGGAGCAGTCAGGCTCGTGTCCATTGGGCTCACTCCCCTGTCATCGGTTCAGAGCACTCAATCTTTCCAGCTGACCTTTTTTTTAATGATCTTAAGAACCTGATTGAGCGAGACCTTACACTTTAATAGCATCTAATAGTATTCAGTGTTCATGCATGGAATGATGAAATCGGATGTTTGCTTTTTGCAGCTCAGCTTCAATTGTGCAGGAGGAAGTATAAAATCGGGCTTCCTGCTTCATGTACCTATACTTTTCATGCAGTATAACTATTTGTACGTGGACAGATTGGTGAAATGCTTCCTCTTTTCCATCACCCTTTGTAGCCATCTGAACCAAACGTTGGAGACTCATCTTAAGTACTCATTGCGGAAGGTTTGACGTGAAATAGAATGTCTGTTTCCATTCAAACAGTTTTGTTTTTACTTGGCAACAAAACTAAATTTATGCACCTGACTCAATGGGTTTTCATTGCATATGTAAATACGAAATTGAACTTCAGGTACATAGGTTTTCAGGGTTTGCACCACAGCCTGTGTTGGAGGACAGCAGATATCAGATTAGGTCCATACAATTTGCCAACATACACTGACTGAGGAATCAAAGGTACAATTAGTTGCAACCAAAACTAAACACATTTGAGTGTGAAAATGTATTGCAGTACTTCTAGCTGTTATACATTCTCATTTAAATAATTGCCCCTCATTTAAACCGACATTGGACCAATGCAATTAGTGAAATAATATATTCCCAGGAAGTAGCAGTCTAGGGCTGGCAGGACATTGCAGACGCTCAATTGAATTTTTGTCATTCTAAATGCTTTCAGCAGTTCTATTTTATTGCTAGGTTAATGCTTCAGATGTGACCCACAGGGATACCGGAAAGTTCAAGACTAGAAAAAGACATTACTATTCAGTTGTCTTGTTCCAAATTGAAATGTACCAGTTATACGCCTAAAAAAAATATTTGCAAACATGCTGTCTCTTCGGACTGCACACAAAATATTAACTTATATTTCTTTGTTGATTAAATTTGCTGTGTATTTCCAGAATTTTTCTGTTTTTCCGGGAGTTCAAGTTTCCAACATTCAGTTTTTTCTTTTTATCTCTAGTTTGAAGACAGCCATTTGACTGCATAAATCACTTCCTGCGGTACTGAAGATTAACTGATTGCATCAAGAAGGCCCAAATGCATCAATTGCAAATAAATTAGGTAACTTTAACTTTCAGTAAAGATTAGGATCACATCACAATTTTTGACAACTCTATGTAATATAGTAACACACATATTTGATATTAAGTGTAGTCATTTTGGGGGGATTGCAATATATAATCCAGCGGTACATGAATAGCAAGAACAAAAACAAAATTACATTTGCATAGTGCCTTTCACATCGGGAGGACGTCCCAAGGCGCTGGACAGCGTACAGCATTTCAGACCCGAGCTGGGGTTGGGGGGGTAAGAGAGGGAAGGGGAAGGGGGGTGGCCGATGGCATGGTCAAAGAGGAGGGTCTTGAGATGGAGGGCTTTGTATGTGAGGACCAGGATTTTGAACTGGATCCTCTGAAGGATAGGGAGCCCGTGGAGTCGGGTAAGAGTGGGGGAGATGGGGTCATGGAGTTTGGTGCGGGAGAGGACACGGGCTGCAGAGTTCTGGATTATCTGCAGTCTGTGGAGGGAGGAGTTGGGAAGGCCGACAAGCAGGGAGTTTGCATAGTCGAGCTGGAGGTGCTGAAGGCGTGAACAAGAGGTTCAGCGGCCTGAAGGGTGAAGTAGTGGTGGAGTTGGGCGATGTTACGGAGGTGAGGGAAGGCAGAGCGGGTCATGGCTTGAATGTGGGGGAGAAAAGACAGTTGAGGGTCGAACAAGACACCCAGGCTCCTGACTGGCTGGTGAGTTGTAGTGTGCAACCATGGAGGTTGATGCTGCCAAAGCCTGAGGTGTTGAGGCGCTGGCGCGAGCCAATCAGGAGGGCCTCAGTCTTGTTCACATTCAGCTGTAGGAAATTTGCCCTCATCCAAGACTCGATGTCCGACAGACAGTCTGTCAGGACAGCAGTGGTCCTGGAGTTGAATAATGCATTACTGACAGATGCACAAGAAAGTTGCTGTGATTTGAGTCTCAGAACCAGTATTTAATCCTTGCATTTGATATAGCGCTTTTCACGTCGGGAGGACATCCCAAAGCGCTTCACAGAACACACTGCAAAGTGAATTGACTGTATATTTGTGGGCGAACGCGGCAGCCAATTGCGCACAGCAATGTCCCACAAACAGTCGTAGATAGAAAATGACCAATTTATTATTGTTTTTGGTTTTGGAGGGATTATTATTAGGCTCTGTGTGCAGTAAGGAAACTTGCCCAAGGTTTCGCCCTGACCTGCCTGGGATTGAACTCAGGTCTCTCGCTTGCAAAGCGAGTGCTCTAACCACTGAGCTACAGGACTCCACATGCCTTAATAGGAAGAATGTTCACTCCACATATTGATATAAATGGTCAGAGAAAATAAGAAGTTAATTGAAGTTAAATTGATTTTACCCCTGAACATTAAAGCAGCGAGAATGCCTCATTACACAAAAGGTAAACTATCTGCACTTCTTCATTTGATGGTTTACCTTTCTCTCACATTTTCCTTTGTTTTACTGTTTTTCATTCATGTTTTCTTTGTCTATCGTATCTTAAAATATTAGCATTCACAGAAGTGCTTTTTACCCATTAACTCTTCCAATTCCAATCCACTCTACCAATTCAATCATCTCTATCCATAGCTAAGTTCTATAGTCATTGCCTCTGCTGTTTTATTTTTACTGCTTCTCATCCAGTATGTTTCACATATACTTTTCTTCAGTCTCTCAGTTTTAAAAAAGCATAGCAATCAGGTTGAATGGTCTAATCAAATGAACATCATTTTTTTCCCTTGGGTCCTAGAATTGAGTCAAGTCCAGACACGATGAACATATCACTTCTGATGGTTACAAATGTATGAGTTTCAACAGCATCAATCTAGCTCTCAGTGTAAGAATTACCACTCCTTGGGAGGTTCTCCCGATGTGAAAGGCGCTATACCAATATAATTTTGTATTGTAACTTTGTATATACATCTGGAATTATGCAATAGAAAACAATTAATTTCTAGTGTTATTTTGGTTGTCCTTCCCCTTTCAACCACTCCATTGAAAACACATTGTATCCAGCTGGTAATAAATATCTCAGCCCAGATCAGTTCCCAGCTGAACACTTATTAAAGACCATAGAGCTGCTGAAGAGTTATATGGATGTTCCCATAAATTACATCATCTAAATGCTTGAGGTGGAAAGACCAACCTGAAATCCTGGGTCTTTGAGAGACAGATATAGAATACAGGTCGATAGATATTGGCTAAAATATATCTCTGTATCCTTCTCGGTGCTGTCTACAATTTCTGCTTTACTATTGGCATCTTACTTTCATAAATCTTGCAAGAAACTTCAATCTGACCTCAACAAATACTGTATGTTGGTCAGAATTCAGGAGTACAGTAACAAATACTTACAGATTTCCTACTAAGTTTTACCTAGCAGAAAAGCATTGCCACGCTCTCATCTTTTTGTTCAATACTTGCTGTGATTAAAATAAAAAAAGAATATTAGATTCACTGTAATTCTCACTTTACTGAATTTTCCACCTGATGCCTGTCTCATTTCCACCTGATGCCTGTCACTATTCAAGATTCCCAAAGAAGAAAGAAACTGCAGAAGCCATTAACACTTTGTCAGTTCACAAACAGGCACTAAAATAGGTGCAGCAATACACCACTAATGTCTGCAAAGTAGTGACAAATCTCTACCATTATATCAAAGAATACTTACACCCTAGCACTTAATGTTTGATGTGCTC